AAATCCACCAAGTTCCAAATATAATTTTCATCGAGAGCATTTATCTCCTCAAGTATTGCATTATGCTAACCAGAATGATTCACAACTTCCTTAACTGTCTTGGGTATGGAAATTGAGTCTATAAAAGCAACGAAAGAAGTAGACAAGGGAGACAGATGCTCATACAAAACATAGTTAGCAATGGGATAAATTGGCTGAGGAATGGTGCACTGAATTACCTTAACGAATACTAATGGGGAGATCAAGATCCTGTGAGGCAAAATCAAATGACGATGGACCTGGTGCAGAGCATGTATCATGAGTCTATTGTCTTCTGGAATAAAAATGAACAATCAGTGGTGGTACTTGGGTTAAGGGAACACTAACACTATCATCAACTTGCTCAAATGAGGTTGGAGGCACATCATCTAGAGAAATACCATTATCTGTTTGCTTAGCAGAAACACCTAGTGTGAAATCATAAATGAGTTACTCATCATCCACCCTCTGACTTGTAGATTTGGACAATGAAGAGAAGAACGATATATTTTCTAAAAAAACCACATCAGTTGATACCAAATATTTATTGAGATCAGGAGAGTAACACCAGCATCCTTTCTAAATGCGAGAATATCCCAAAAATACACATTTTAGGGTCATTGGATCCAATTTTGTCACACTATATCGCACATCTCACACATAATAAATGCTACCACATATCTTATATTGCACCGAAAATAAAGACTTATTTGAAAAAAGAAAACTGTAAATAGTATCTCTATCAAGTACTGTAAAGGACATACGATTAATCAAGAAACATGCTGTGGAAACAGTATCAGCCCAGAATTGTTTAGGGAATTGCATTTGGAACAAGATAGTTCGAGCTGTCTCAAGTAAATGTCTGTTCTTTCTTTCAGTAACTCTATTTTGAGATGGTGTATCAACACACGAAAATTAGTAAAAGATCCCGTGTTGAGTCATATAGTTCTGAAATGAGTTTGACATATACTACTTGACATTATCACTTCTCAATACATGCACAAAAATATTGAATTTTGTTTTGACTTCAGCACAAAAAGCACAAAAGTGATAAAATACTTCAAAGTGATTTTTCATAAAATATATCTAAGTCATTTGAGAAAAATCATCCATAAAAGTAACAAAATACTTAAAACCTATTTAGACGTAACAGGACAGGGGCAGTAAACATCATAACGAATCAACTCAAAAGCATACTCAGTTCTCAATACATGCACAAAAATATTGAATTGTGTTTTGACTTCAGCACAAAAAACACAAAAGTGAAAAAATACTTCAAAATGATTCTTCATAAAATATATTTAAGTCATTCGAGAAAAATCATTCACAAAAGTAACAAAATACTTAAAAGTTGTTTAGACGCAACAGAACAGGGGGCCCAAACATCAGAATGAACCAACTCAAAAGCAGACTCAGTTCGTCTATTGACTCTTAAACCTGATGGACTACAATGATGTTTTATAAACCGACACGACTCGCAATCCAACGAAGGTATATCATGAAACTAAGAACATAACTTTTTCAACACAAGAAGAAAAGAATGTCCTAATTGACAATATGTTTCAAATGAAGATGTAACACTAGAACAGACAACTGACCGAGACACTCAGATATTAAGAATGTAGAGACCATTTGATATATTTTCTTTACCAATAATCTATTTCGTCGTAAGATTTTGAAGAACACAGTGATTAGGAAAGAATGTAATAAAAACAATTCAAATATTTACTCAACTTACTCACAGAAATTAGATTAAAAGCAATTTTAGATAGACTTAGTGCAGATAACAGGGTAATAGATGAAGTTGGTTTTGTAATTCTGTACCCCGCAATGTTATAAGTCGACTCATCAACAATAGTTACAGAAAAATGTGTTTTGTGTGGTCAAAAATTAGAAAACATATTAAGATTACCTGTCATGTGATCTGTAGCACCAGAATCAATTACCCATCTGTTTGAATAGATAAAACATTTTTTCTCTGATTCAGCGAAAACATAAAATTTATTCAAATATTTCTGATACTGAATGAATCTAGCATACTCGTCAGCTGAAATCATAACAGTTCTTTCAGATGATGAACTAGCAATAGCAACAACAATACTAGTGTTCTGTATCTTACGATTCTGCAGTTGCTTACAATACTGTTTTATATGTTCTTGTTCGCGGCAGTACTAGAAACAATATCCATTTCAATTTAGAAATTAGAGAAATATGTCACTCAGAATACCCAAAACACAACAATCAGAGATATTCGGAAAACAATAAAAATAAGCCACCAATTTTGCGAAAACCAAATTCAAATCACACACAGAAACCCAAGAGACCCACATTGCCACGACAGGAGATCACGCGCCGCCGCACCCGCCGCCACCGGAGTTCATGCGCCGCGCTTAAAACACCAAAATTCCTCCTTTCAGCTGGAAATCTCCACAGAACCCTAATGCGCACCCTGATCCAGAATGACGCTCACCGAAACGCCCTAAATCGCGCTGGAAAGCGAAGAATCAATTATTGTCGCGCGATCTCCTCTGCTGCAACTTTCCCTTTCTTCAGCCTTCTGGTTTCGTGCACAGAGCCTGCTGACCAAGCTTCTCTGTGCCTTCTTTCCTCGAACGGGAACCCAAGACGCTCGGTGATGCTCTCCTCCGACAATCCAGCCGCATGCAACCTCAAACTACTACACGAACTGCTTCCTCGGATTCTCTTGCGTACACCACCATGCTGACCGCACTCTGAACTAACCGAAGATCAGTAGTTGTCTTCCTCCAGTGCCGGGAATGGGTTGTTTAACCCTTTTTTAATCTGATGTAATTTGACTCATAAAACCTTAACTCTAACCCTTACTCTGATACCATGTAAGATTTAGGGAAAGGAATTTCAAATCTTTACATACTTTCATTACATAAAGTTAGGGGTATATATACATAGAAGAGGGATTTATATATGAAAACATAAATCACTCTATTAATGCTAGGAATAATTACATAAGAATATTTCGTAATATATTTTGTGATATTCTAACAATCTCCATAATTTATTAATAGAACTCTTTCCTGTTGCTTGCCTACCTGACAATAGTCACACATCTCTGCTAAGATGGATTTCAATCATATCTAAAATTAAACCAGCTGTTTATAGAAATATTAGAGATTTCGAGTTGAAATGCCCAATCTTTTATATTAGAGCCATGTTTCATCAAGTTTTGATTGTGTAACCTTTCTCAAATCTTTTGTTTCCGATTGATCAACTGATTTCCAATGACAATTGTTATCGACCATTCTAAATTAGCATTGGTCATCCTTTAGGACACTAAATAGTACAGCAATTTCCCTTGAAAAATTATGAGTTCTTTAAATCTTAAGACATATATACTTCTAAACTGATAAGGAAGGAGTTTAATAAAAGGGAGGAAGTGTTTCACGGGTGTGGAGCACGACTACCAATCTCTTTAAACATGAAGATATAGATATTATGATTAGCGGGGACCTTCTTTCATCTGAAAAACAATAGATCCCCTTCCTTCTACTTCACAATTTGTCTATTCCCATCTTCACTTTGGTTTTGAATGATATATACAAACCATTTAAAATATTTGATCTTAAGTCAATGCTTAGGACAACCACTGTCTACAACCAAGATTTTTACTAATTGATTGGACAATATCAGATGCTATTAATAAGAGATCTTTGCAAGTTCCATATGGTGGAAAATTAACTCTCTTTACAGAGCTCTTCAGCCCTTCTGGCACTTCCCCTTGTCCTGCATTGTCAATATCAGGTTTATCACCATCTTTAAACTTTAGTCACTTTCTCTTTTGTTTGACTTGGAAACCATTTTGCTATACTCTACCAGATCACTTAAACACCCTCCTCTGGTTTGAGTTTGTAACTTGCTAACAAATGCAACTATGACCAACTTCTTTAGGTAACAAGACTATGCAATTTTATAGGTCTTGGATTCACTTGCTTGGCAGGCCGATCATCATCTTCTTCATTAGCGTTATCATTTTCTAATGTCTCGCCATGAACACTTCCTTGATTTACCAGCTCCTAAGTTTGGCAGAATTGGTTGTCTCGTCATCTTTTATCATCAAAATCTTTTGAAACTTAACAACTTGACAGGATGTACTTTTTCACTTCCTTTAAACTCCTACTAGACTTAGTCACATGCTTTGCAATTGAAGCTCCCACTATCCTTGGAAAGTTTGCTTCAAAAACTGTTTAGTGAAGTTTTACCATATGCCTCCTTTTGTTGCTTGGTCCATTGAAAATGGTGGGATTTTCTGACAAAATGACTGACTTATATCCTTTTCGGCCATATTCAAAAGATTTGTATACCATTAAGAAGAGCTTCCATTCTTAGAAGCCAAAAACTACAGTTTCTTCTGAAAACCAAGAGATATAGATAAAGAAACATTACTTCTTGTCATTTCCTGACTTTTGTGAAACACTTGATATAAAAACTACTCTTATTTGTAAGAATTCGATACTCAAAATTATCACTTCCTTGAAATTAAAGAACTTGTAGCTCAAGATAATATCTCTCTCATTTTATTGCATTTGCATGCAT